AGATAATTTTTTGTCTCTCCTGAAAAGTTGCAAAAAACGAGATACGAGGTCTTGACTCTTGGCCGACGATATACAAATTGAGTGAAATATTTCCCACCATATTTATTTTTTTATAACAATCTATTGACCTATTGCATATGAAAATCAGTTTCATTTGTAGATGCTCGTACTTATTATGGTCTCACTAGCTTATTTAGGTGATTTCAACAAATTGACATTTAATTAGAAAAAAAGCTGTTAATTATTTTTGTTTGTCATTCATCTTTATTTTTTTTCAATAAAGTTACAGAAGGTATTGATTTCGTTTGAGAATTAATAGATTAAAATAAAGTGTTTTTGGCAACAAGAAATAAAAGATATCCCGTTCACAGAGTTTTTTGTAGAACATTTTAAAATAATATAGAGAATAATTTACGACACTGAAGAACCGCATGCATGTTTGGGAGAAGACAATTCTTTACACAGGCCATACAAAGCCAGCAACAAGCAATGTCCTGAATTGAAAAAAACGATATAACAAATAGAAGAGTTTCAGCTATACTGAATTTTGTCCCAATTTTAGCTCACAAGGTCCAAATTAAAGGACCCAGACGATTGTGTTTGTGTTGTACAATGGCAACTGCCTGTAATCTGTCAACTTTTCTTCACACAATTTCTTTTGAACCACTGGTTGAAAGTAAACTAAATTTGACTTGAATCATTACTACCGATGGATGGTGATGGGGATCCAAAATTTCACAAATTGAAGGACTAACCTCCAGGGAAATGAAACTGGAGCCCAAAAAAGGTTATACATGAAAATCGGAAATGGGTGAGGTCCCTAACCTTTAACAAAATTGACAATTGTTGAGTAAAAACCACACATAATACAAACACGGATCAACCTATTGAGATTCAGTCCCTGGGTCATAACTTTGAAAAATGTGAGATCCTCAGATCACGTCACAACTAATATCGTAGAGCTGGGAAACTTACAAAGGTGAGGTCAACGTTTGGCCCCCACTTTGATTTCTTTTATTCTTTTGCCATATGTAGATACTTAAGGTTTGAAATGCATCTTTTTAACATTTATGAGGGTATGCTAACGCGCATCATGGAATGTTTGAACGGAAATGTGTTGCATACCCTCGTAAATGTTAAAAAGATGCATTTCAAACCTTATATTTACATTCTTATTACATCCACTTTTGTTATATGAAATTAAGAAAAAAAATGATTTTTTTTTAACGTTAAAAAACAAAACACCGTCATGAAATCAACATTAATTGAACAGCCTTTTTCGCGGGAAATATGATGCGTTGTCAACGGTGACGAAATACACAGTTGAGCATAAACAAATAGTTCCACTTTGTATATGTTTTAATAATTTAATTTACATTACCAGCATGTTTAACAAGCATTGATTATCTTGAAAATTGACAGTAGATCTAAATTTAAAACAAAAATACCATGTTAAATATTTTAGTTGCGAAAAGTCAGAATGTTTTCCGTGTTCTCGGAGAAAGCTGACCGTTTAAAAAACGGTTGTGCAGCGGCTACGCTCATCAGGCAACGAAGCGGTTCGACTTTCAACGAGATAGAAAGTGTATCCGTAAAATAGAATGAGGGCTACCAAGTGTGTTCAAATGAATGACCTTCGCCCATATTCAAGGTCACAGGTGTCAAATATGTTGAATTTTTTAAACGACTTCTGAATAATTTAGATGACCTTGTTAATGATATTTGGCCAGTAACCTGCATGGATAAAGGGCAACCAATATTTGCAATTATTTCTAAATCTTACAATACGCTCTTACTCATTTGGCAACGTCATCCTGCAAAGTTATAGACTATTTAATATTACATCTACTGCTCTTTGGTTCAAGAAGTTCTTTTTATCAATTAAACATAATATTTACAATATTAATAACAATATCAAACGAGATGTCTCCAAATTTTCAACTATTACTGATGCAGAAGAACTTTTACTGTAAAATAAATGCATGAGTTTAATTGGATATTTGTACTTTGGGAGCATTTTCAAATTTTATACAGACGTCTGCTCAATAAATCGTTCGAAGTGGTAATTTTTAAAAGTCTTTATCTTTAAACGCTCAGATGCTTCCATAGAATGCGCCGATTTGTTTAATGTCCTATTAACAACAAAGGTCAGTTAAGGACATGCCTCCATGTGTGTAGTGTATGCGTGATTGCGTGTGTGTATGCAGGAGACAGGGTATGTTGGTGTGTTTTGGGGGCTTCGGCATCGTATTTCAGCGAGATAACACTATAAAGTCGGCGTCAGATCCGCGCTATCAAAAGGAGGCAATAAAACTAACATACCCTGTCTCCAGCAGATACACAATACACCTGGAGGCACGTCCTTCAATGAACTAAGCTGTTGATAGGGAATTAAACCCCATACAACAAACCGACCAACTTACTAATAACAAGCTATACTAATCACTTGTTGATTACTAGAAAACGGGTACATGTCTTGTCAACAGGGAAAGTCATAATTACTACAGGTAATGCCAAGTAGTGTTTTGAAAACCATAAAATCATCGATAGCATCTATACAACAATCACCTCTATTGAACTCACTGAGAACGTGTACCAGTGCTGTCCCTTATATAACAATAACATTATTGACAGTTTAACAGTCATTGCGTTAATGTGCCCATGCAATGACGAATTAAATAAAGTGCAAATTATATACCAGTGAAAATTAAATATGTAATACGTACAATGCACCAATCTTGCCATATGCACATATGTGCGGGGCTTGTCGATTTTTAAAAATCATAGCTGTCGGCACGATGTGCGCACGGTAACTTGTGTGCGGTGCGTGATAACACAACTGCATGATCATAAAAAAGGGAAAATGTCTATTTTATGCCCAAATGTGCACATGCATACTGGTAAAGGACTTTGTATCTTACCCTTTTTGTACATTTACAAAAAATGCAAGCTGTCGGATATCGTTCGGATATTGGACATTGTTATAAATTAAAGAAAAACACTATGCCCCTGCCGTTTGAACTTGATTTAAAAACAAAAACTAAATTTCGTATATAATTTCTATTCTTATTTTACCCTTTTTGTTTTTGGTCATTATTATAGCGTTGTACTTTGATCGATATAAGCATAAGGTCATCCTCTGGTCAAGTTTGGGATGAGCATGACAGCTTTGCTAAGAAACGGTGTAGGTGTAATCACCTTTGACAAACAACTCGGAATATTCAACAAGCTTACATCAGGTATGTCCCTTCGCCCAGTCAGTGTTTGTTTTGCCGTACTAAACCCTTTAATCTTCTATTACACGAGTCAATGTCATTTATTGACGTGGTCCGTCTGGATAATGTTTCAAGGTCAAGACCAGCATGTCAGTTTCACATAGCAGAAATACAGATGTGTCCGGATAGCATAAGCTTATCATAATGTTGGAGCTTCATGCAATCACACAACTGAACAATCATAAAATGTACATATGCATACCTGTAAAGGACCATAGTGTTTTAACTTTTTTTTGTATATGCATTATTCATACAGCTTCCCTAAATACAACAACAACGCGAGCTGTGTCGTTCGGATATTTGGTATTGTAAAAAAATACAAAACAGTATGCCCCTGGCGTTAGACCTTTTATTTTAAAAAAAACATCCGTATAGCATTTTCTAATCTTGTGAGTCGAAAAAAAGGAAAGCAATACATGACACACAGTCACGTGATAACAAGTGCTTGATTAGTACTGTTTTGGTCGTTTAATGTATTTAACTTATTAAGTGTCCATGTCCTTGTAAGTGCATCATGTAATCTCTTTGCCAACAAACCCACTGTCTCAAATACCACACGCCTTCTACTTAGTTATTTATTTTACATATATTTGAGTATCAGAATGTTCAGGATACTTCGTACACTAACCAACATCTGTTTGTTGATTGCTAACCGACAACATGTGCAAGTGAAATACATGCCGTACTGATCTACAAAAATGTATATTAAATACCTCTGGACAACCTTAGGTTATCTGTGTTTTGATGTGAAATGGAAAAATAATATAATTTTGATAATCACTTTGACCTTTTCTGGCCTAGCTTCCATTTATCCAAGGTTGCTTTAATAGGTTCAATATGCACAAATGAAAAGTATGTCTTGTTAATTTATAATGAGTATTAGTATCGACTTGTCAGTGATATAAACTTGACATTTTGTTACCCATGTATCAAACTAACATGCATTTTTTTCTTTGTGCATGTATTACATATGCAAACAGACCTGACATATACTATAGTATACCATGTACCATGTTTTGGACACTCTTTGAAGGATACTATTGTTGACATTGGAGCTAGATGTGACTTTGTAATGAAATGCAAAACATGTACCATGTAGTGTAGATGTTACGCCTGTTACAAAGAGTAACATTTTGTCACATGGATAGTGTCGGCATCTACTTCAATTGACCATAGCTGTTAATAGGACGTTAAACAAAAATTAAACCCAACCAAACTACTTCAATGGAAATAATATCGTTAAAAAAGAACAATCAACTGGTCTGAAAAACGTAGAGTAGCTATGTTTTTGATCAGGTGGCCACACCCTGCCCTTTGCCTATGCCCTTGTATTGAGCTATGTAAAATCAAAGGAAAATATGGTATGTTATGTAGCTTTTCCAATGCAACAATCATCGTTACATTTGATTTGCACATCTTATAGATCAAAGTGAGGCAAAGGTCGATATTGAGGTCACCAAATGCCAACGGTCAATTCGATTACTAACTATTAAAGATGATCCCAGTTCACTTGCATATTTGAAAACAAATAGCTATCTATGTATGGGTCACCGAAGGTGAGTCTAATTACAAGTTACGTAATAGGAATTTCCACTTGAACTATTTTTCATTAGTTTACCAATTGTTAGTATTTCTCCTCTAACTGCATCTTTTAAATAGCCCGTGAGATCATCACATATCTTAACTAACAGATATATTATCTTCCTAGGGCCTGAGCCCCACGTAAACACGTCGGGGTCACGCCAATCATGTGAAACGCTGGGTCATGGATATAGTCAGACAGGCTAGCGCTAAATAGTGTATGGATCAGTTAAAAGGACTTGCCCTTGTTATTAACTGTCTCAGAACGTCCATACATTGTTTCACGCCTTTTCATACACGCTTACTTTCTGTATTCTGACAATAATCTAGCGTAACATGGCTGAACACAGGCGAGTTTGCCTAATAGGCGCAGGGCCGTGTGGCATGTCCTTTTTATATCATAATCAGAAACACAATGCCGGTGAGGTTGTGTGCTATGAGAAACAGTCCGACTGGGGTGGATTGTGGAACTACACATGGAGGACAGGTGAGTTTATCATCTATTATTATCTCGTGGTGAACCATTACACATATTCGTATTGTTCGTATTTTATCGCTCCAAGCTAAAAAAAATTCATTTGACATTTTTTTTGGTTTTAAACAAAGCCTTTGTTCAGCAATATACGTTGCTGACATTCGTTACATTAGGGTATCAAGGTACATTATATGACATGTATTATTGGGTCATCTTTATGTACTTTACACATACCTTGATATCATGAATAGCATGACGCATCACATCACTTTAAAACTTCTGTTACTAAAGAAAACGTATCAGTCGATCTGTCTCTGCATAATTGTAAATATGTCTATGTACAAGAATGTGTATATAACAGTTGGAGTTGTAGGCTGCTAGCGTGCTGTGTACCGTGTGCATAGTGTTTGCTTTCCTACTGACTTCAGCAGTAATTAAGTCAAGGACGCACATATGTTACGGAAGGGTATTGGCGTAATATGTACTGGTTATACATGAATTATTTGTAGAATGCTACTGATAATATCAAACCATGATATGGTTTATTAATTTACCGGACTTCATGTCAAATGTAAATATTTTGAGTATCATGTGATGAAGTGCATATAGGAAAACTACAAATAGAGTTTCCCTTTCTCATTCTCCTAAGTTCGCTTCTATGTTTTGATATGTTCTGTAAACAATCGCATTATAAATATTTTCAATCAACGACTACATCAAACCATTGATTGAGAAAAATACACGGTTATCACTGAAAACTGACTTAAATATGAAATATTTTGTATGACTTAAACAATCCTATATTTATCCATGACAAAAAAATCATTCAATTCCAACAGTAGTGGCTGTCTTTAACTGAAAACGCGAATATATAATCTATGAAAAATCAAAAACGATACATCTCATTTAATCAAAAGCCTTCTTTCCAAAAGCTTCCAGTAAAAGGGCCGTGGTGGGCAAGTGGTTAAGGTGTCTGATATTCTGCTACCACTAGCCTTTCACCACTGGATCGCGGGTTCGTGACCCACGTGGGGCAGTCGCCAGGTACTGGCCGTAGGTCGTTGGTTTTTCTCCGGGAACTTCGGCTTTCCTCAAGCACCAAAACCTAGCACGTCCTTTAATGACCATAGCTGTTTCAGATCGTAAAACACATACAAACCAAATCCAGTAAAAGGAACATGTATGGTTGAAATGTTCGTCCCTTCTATTTAATTTGTTGGTGATACATTATTCTGGGAGTGTGATGTAACATGTATTTGATATATTGGTAAAATTTTAATGAACTTTCGAGGATTTGATATAAATTATGGTTAAAATTGTTAATGCTGCAAATATGCTTATATGGTAATATTCTGTTTAACGTCCCTTTAACCGCTACGTCATTTAAGTACGAGCCTCCCTAAGTTGTATGTATGCATGTTTGTGTGCCGGAGCAGGGTTTGTCGGTGTATTTGCAGACTATGTTATGATTGATATAGCTTGATTATTTAGTTAATGTTCGGTTACCGTTACAAAGTTTAGTCTCTTACTCAGAAAAAAGCATACGTTTGTGTCTGGGTAGCAGCCATTCTATGATTGCTTAATGTAAATGCTTTCCGTCTTTTTATTACAGCGAAAAATATTTGTATTTTTTTCATCTGACTTAAACAATTCGGCACATTATGACTTAATATGTTGTTTTAGGCGGTTTACAGTCAAGACACCAGTCATTTAACGCATTGCTTGACAATGGAAACAGACGTTTATGAAAGCTCGCGAAAAAGTTTTAAATTTGTGTTTGTATTTTTATCAAACAAATTAATATTTTTTTAAATGTTTTCAGTTCAGGCACATTTCGTTAATACTGCTGTGTTTGTCAAAGTGCGCAGTTTTCATATATTTACCTGACAAACTAAGTACACAATAAATCGTTGTACGTGCGTGCTCGATCAAAATCTGTTCGTCACTTTCCTGTGGATCCACAGGTGAAGTCCCGTTCGTCCCATTCCTATAGGTTATAATTGTTTATTACATGTAATTCTGTTTGATACAGAAAATACGACATAGAATGTATGCTTTACTCGTCGACCGCAGATTCCATAGACTTGGTGTATGTGCTCAATTCATACAAGAACGTTCACAATATACCATGTGCATGCTATTTTCTCGAAACATGAACCATACGGTTCAGCATATATATAATTATGTAATTAGAACTTTGTTTCTGCAACAGGTTTAGACGAGTATGGAGAGCCTTGTCATGGAAGCCAGTATCGGGATCTTTGGTCCAATGGCCCTAAGGAATGCGTGGAATTTCCAGATTACACATTTGAGGATCACTTTGGGAAGGTTATCCCATCTTTTCCTCCGCGGGCTGTTTTACAAGACTATTTGGAAGGTAATTTTACAAAAACAAACCCGAAGTCGTGTATTTACAACAATTTATGAAAATATAGTAAAACTAATATTTGCTGACAATAAATTATTTTCGACATGTAAATGCTTCCCAATGAATACCAATATGTTTGAAACTGTAATTTAATGTTTGAGTGATAACAGGCTACCTTAATTGAATTTAAGTTATGCATATGTGCTATTTGCCAGGTCAATGGGAAAATAGCAGGCGACTTTAATAAATGGTATGTATATGTGGTATTTGCCAGGTCGCTGGAGAAAAGCCAACCTACGGAGTCATATCCGGTTCAACATACTGGTTAAGAACGTCACTTACAACAAGGAAACTGACGATTTCACTGTCATAGTGAAGGACCTCGTCAATGACAAGGAACTCCCATCCGAGAGGTTTTCTCATGTCATCGTGGCTAGCGGTCATTTCTCGGTCCCTAATGTGCCCGAATTTGATGGAATAGATACCTTTCGAGGCAGAATTCTTCATTCACATGATTTCAGACGAGCTCATGAGTTCAAGGGTCAACGGCTTCTTATAGTCGGCGCGAGTTACTCCGCTGAGGATCTAGCAATGCAATGCACGAAGATGGGCTCTGCTAATATCATTACCTGCTGGCGTACCAAACCTATGGGGTTTAAGTGGCCAGAAGGAATAGAGGAACGTCCCCTTTTGACCAAAATCGACGGAAATACAATTAATTTCAAAGACGGGACTAAAGCTGAAGTAGACGTCATAATCCTTTGTACCGGGTATTTGTACCACTACCCTTACCTTTCCGATACCCTACGTCTTAAGACGGGACTTCGATTGTATCCGCCTGGGTTATACAAGGGGACGGTATGGATGGGTGATGGCAACAACAAGCTGATGTACCTTGGCATGCAAGATCAGTACTACACATTCACGATGTTTGACATTCAGGCCGAATGGGCATGTGCAGTAACTAGAGGAGATAAAAAGCTGCCTAACCGTACTGAAATGGAGTTGGACATGAAAAAATGGCTGGAGGAAGAGGCCTTGCTGAAGAATTGTTACGACCACATCACCTTCCAGACGGCGTTTGTTTGTGACCTTGCAAGAGAAGTAGGCTGTAAATACAACCTAGATGTCGCTGCCCTATTTAACAAATGGGAGGACGATAAACACAGTAATGTTGTGACATACAGGGACCATGCATTTACATCCGTTTTCACTGGTACTCCGGGAATAAAACACCACACACCCTGGATTGAAGCATTTGATGACTCCCTGGACACATTCGTCAATCAAACACCAAACAAATAGCTTAAAAAGGAAAAGCAATCGATTGTGTTTACTTTTTTTGTAGTAACGGAAGGTTTAGTACCAACTTGTATATAATGAAGTACAATACATATCATGTAATCGGACATTTACGGTCACGGACAAAATTCTCCCAATTGACTAACTAGGCGTTGTTATGTTATAAACCCGACCCGCAAAAGAGTTTTTTTTGTGCTATACGTTTTGGGATTCGCAGAACGATATCATATAAATTTGTTTTCATACAAAATCATACCAAACATAAACGGATTTTGAGCTTGTGCTATACAATTGCAGATATATTTTAGTTGGCTCTGTAAGGCATACACACATAGGAAGATATTAACCAGGTAACATAGGACTAGTTATATACTGTAAAGTATTTTAGAGTGGCTTACGTTAGCTAGATGGGGCGCTTTATCGAATGTTATTATTATTAGTGTTATGTATACTGAGCACGTTTTGGTACAACATGATCATAAATGAGAATATGTTCAAAATTGAAATAGAGGCTTTGAAAGGTAGATCGCACCTGAGCCTGGGACAGACATAATTAGTCACCAAGTCAGAAATGTGACGCTATATTATGTCGCCTATTCAAAGCGTGGCCAATTTAGTTTACAAAATCCAATATAAAATGCATACACGTCATATGAATCTGGTATTTCAAGCAACATGTGTTTGTTGGAATCCCTATGAGATGCACTTGTAGCAGAGTTTGAAATTTGACGCCACCGTGAGGGAAATGTAACGGCGGCATGCTATAAGCATTGTCAGCTTACTTGTGCCAATACCAGTTATCTTCAGTTTAGTCGTGCACATTTCAAGCTACCGAATTGTTAATACTAGACGAATGCAGATCTTAATATGCACAGTTTGGTATCTAAATAATCATATTTTTTTCTTTACGTATGAACATGAAACATTTACGTTAGAATTAGATATACTATCGCTTGCTATCAGTTTGGTTTGGATAAGAGTGTCGAACACATGTCGGTGACTTGTAAATGCATACTAGCAGACTTAAATTGGATTCTTCAGAAGTTCTAAAATAACTTTATGTATTCGTTTTATCTGCTATCAATACATTGATCAGTATATATTTTGTGTCTGCATCTACTCAACTATGCGGTAGTTGATGAATTATAAATTCATAAATCGCAATAAATTCATGATTATATCTCAGATAACTATAAATAGGTCTATATACCATGGATGTCATACGTAGGGAGTCCCATATGTTTACTGGAGTGCTATCATCAAGGTTTACCGACACATATCCAGTACACAGCATCTGTTTGAGTTACACTTGATGTGTTTATGCATATTTTGGTGGCTACGGCATGGTATTGTATCGTGGTCGCGCTATCTCAAGGAGGCAAATACATCAACGTGTCTTGTCATCTGCGGTCATACACACACACATTGCAAATATTGGACACGTCCTCTACAATTCGCTATATAAACATCTTACACGATTAACTGCCTTATTGTGATCTTAAACCTTCAAACACGAATTTCATTAAAACGAATTAGCAAAATTAATGGTCTGAAAAAACAACAAGTTACTCACAACTCAACCTAACGTAGGTTCATGTGCAACAAGCAGAGCAGACTGCAGAGAGAAAGCTGTCATCTCGCAACTACGTACATGTAACACATAGTTACATATTACATTTCATGATTGAATGCGCTAATTACCCAAAATAAAACTTGACAGATTATATAATGCATTATCAATGAAAAGTTTGTATGTTAAATGTGATTATTTACACTACATTGATCTTTATAATAAAATCGGATATCTCTTACAACCTATTCGTTCACTGTTGATATGTTTTTACATTTATACACATTTTAAACATTTTTATCTCCCGCTTTTCGAAGGAAATCGGGGAATATTAACTTTGGACCGTCCTTCTGTCTGTCACGTTTCTGTTATCGTGCAACTGATACACTAATAATGGTCAAATGTCAACAAAATTTGGTGTGCACATACATAGTAACTTGTGTAAGACTAAATTTTACGCATACTAAATAACACATATACATTCCGATTGGCTGATTAGTTTCAGTGCAATAAGTGCACTAATAACGGTCATATTTAACCCAAATATGGTCTGCACACATGTATAAATAATGATAATAATAATAATTCGAGGTTCTTACATACCGTTTTATCACAACCTAGTTCGTAGGTCGTCTCAAAGTGGTTCACAATTTATTTTCCGTGGTTATAGGGCCTTTTCAACCAGCCAAATCCTTGGACGCATACAGACGGGGGTGCTGTCATTTTGGCGCTCAAAACTAGCATTCATCAATTCTAGCACTACCCAACCACGTACTCGTTTACAGCTAGGTAGACCTAACAAAGCAGAGTACAGTATCTTGCACAGTGACTATAACACAGTGCCGTGACGTTACTCAAACCCACTACCCTTCGGTCACGAGCCCGGCGTCCTACCACTAGACTAACATGTTTTCTTACATGACTAAGTTCACTCGTCAATATGATCCATTCATATTTATGGATAATTAATTACACTTATATATTCTAATCATAATGTATTTCTGTTAAATAACTGTGCTTAATAATGGTCCTATTACAACAATTTGTGTTCGCACATACATATTAGATGTTTCAGGCGCCATTCGCTCGACAATGTGATCTGTGGAAATTACGCAAACATATTAATTAACTATTAATTAGTTAAAATGATACGTAGAGGTATTCAAAACCTCCAAAAGTATTGAACATATATACATCTACAAGTCTTTTACTCATAAGATTTAAAATGTGTACATAAAATGTGACAACCGCTCTCGGCCATCGTATTCGCGTCCTTGTGGGCAGATACATGGTCCGTCGAGGGGCGGTCCAGACTACACAAACAAACATAAAAAATAGGTTACACAAGATAACTGAAGTATGTAAAGCCTGATTATCGGTCACCCCTGCCTCGCAAGGTAGGCTAAGTTATATAATGTTTAGATAATACATCTGTATACCATCTGTGATAGCCCAAAAGTTTGTAACTAATCAGTTCATTGTGAACTATCAAATGTAAATGAATAATGCAACTTCTTTAGATAGATAAACAAAAACATGAATTCAGGTGTTAGTCACAAAACGAGATAGTAAACACATTGGTCCTACATTGTGTATGTAGATCAGTGGCGATCGTGAAGTACATAGTCAGACACATTTTTGTTATAAAATATCAATTATTCAAATGATTATGAAATAAAAGCAATGCTTTAGCCTTTAAACACAAAACGTGCAAAAACGCATAGTCATTGTTTAGTCTAATTTCATTAAATGAAGTGCAAAATTGTCCAACAAGTACGAACTGTCATTAGAAATGGGAATCGTGGAAGCTATGTGCACGTTTTATTTTGATAATTTCATTTCAACAATGAAAAACATTTGGTATAGTAAAAAGTGAAACCGAACTGCCTTCAAAAATCTATACCTTGTGCCTTATAATTGATTTTGAACATAGAATGGCAGGCTACATGCATTCAAATATTGATTTCTATTATATTAAACAATATTGCACCAGTGAAAGAAATAACCAAAAATGCTTACCACTGATTATCAATGGTTTGAAGGGAAATAACTCCTTCATACTTAAAGTTAACCAATGCATTTAACTAACGCGATGTATTTCATTGTTATCGTACAAAACTATCAAACTCTCGATGCAGATATTACCTCTAGCATTTTAAGACTTATGTTTAGCAAAACAGTGATAGTTACCAAAAAACCTAACTTTCCTCTAAACTGTATACAATTTCCCAGACAATTTTTTATAGATAAATTCAAAATACCAGTTGACCGGGATATACCATTATCGCATATGACATAGGGATTGAACACCCTACAAATAACTTAACACATAAGGTAGCTAACTGATAAGTTATCGTGCATGCGTTCATTCAATCAAATTTCAATACACACACTCACACGCGTTTATTTACATGTATATACAAAAAAGTTGAGAGAGTAGGAGGGGTGTGAGTGTGCGGAATATAAATGTCAAAGTTCATTATAAATGTAATATAAATTATCGCGGACCATGTGTTTCTCAATGCACACGTTCTGTTGTTTAATTGATCATTACTTCACGTACTAATAACATCCCCCTGTTTACTCTTTGCCTTCTGATATTCCCGTTACAACTAGTTCGCTTTTACATGGTCCAAATACATTTTCACATACAATAATATCTATATAGAGACAGTATATATTATTACAATAATTGGATATCGATAGACATATGGATTCTGAATAATTTCTGAAGATGAAAGAAGAAACGGGAGGCGGAGGAAGAGAGGTAGTCATTAAAATCGATTAGAATCATGAAAATATCGCTAAGTGTGCATGAGAATTCCAATGTTTTTTTTGTTCCGAATTATGTGTATCGCCCAAGGTGTAGGTTCAGGGTAAGATGTATGTATTTGTTAAGCTCGCGATACAGTTTAACTCTGTTCTACATAAATTATTGCAATTAAAAACGAAACGGTTGGCTATCCCCAGTAGGGAAGCAACATGTATACCTTTGATCATCATCCATATTATGTCGAAATATGTCGTTTTTTAATGCACTTAAAAGGTTTCTTAGTTTTGTATGCAAAATATTTATTTTTCTATCGCCAAAGAAATAGTAATTAGGTACATTTGTCAAACTTGTATCCTTGAAATTATTTCTGTATGAAGACAGCGTAGGACTATGCCTAATATGAATATAGTTCCAGAGTGAAAATTATTGAAGGAAGAGTTAGATAATTCAAGTATGGTTTTAGGCAAATTGTAGTTTTCTGCATTTCGAAAGTTATATTGAAGGTTAGCGACAAGTGAAGGGAGTATAGTACTGAAAGAGTTAGGAATAATACTATTGTGAATTTAATAAAAAAAAAAAAAAAGTTGGAATTTTCGACGGGATCTCCAGTGGGCTAGAGGTTCCCATCCGGTTTCAGTAGGTAAATCAGTAACAATGCGTCGAATATTGTAGCTTTTCTAACTTATATATATATCAGTAACAGTACATCCATCCCAAAGTTCACAACATTGTAAAATTGAATTTATAAATGATTTGGATATTTTATATAATATACTTCGGTTTAGGGTATATTTTGAATTACGGAGGACACATACATGTAAATGTTTCACTACTTTTTACATGTACTTTAAATGTGATAGCTCCAGTTATAATAGCATCGCTGAATACTCCCAGATTCTTATGGTTAACAACAAAGTCAATATTTGCATTGCTAAAATTAGTTTCAAGTATTTAATTCAAAATTAGAGATAGGTAACGTTTCTGTTTTGCATGATTAAAGTTAACTAGCCACTTATCTGCCCAAATTTGTATCTTTACAGCATTAAGGTTTTGTTCAATACCTTGTGAGAATTAATTCGAACATAATAGAGGAGTATCATCAGCAAAAACGTTTCGATTGACTTTCTTATTTATCTGTTAAATCTTTAATATAGATTATAAATAATAACTGGCCGAGAACCGAACCCTGTGGCTTACCTGCATAAGTTGTCTTGACAGATGATGTAGTATTTCAAAAGAAATCTTGTTTGGATGAATCAGTAACATAATTCATTAAACTTTATACACGCAACATGTATACACGTACCATCATTCCCTGCACTATATCACGCAACATGTAGTATGTACATACCATGGTTCACGTTGTTATTGTAGTGGTGCTAGGGGCATTAACAAGAGGGTGTCGCGTGTTACACATTTCGCGTTGTGTTCTAATTTCGAACGTTTTCGAAGTGGCGCCACCCAAAGAGTGAAAAACAACAAAGAGTTTCATATAAAGTTGAATATATTTACAAGACTATGATGGTATTTACAATGAGATGATTTGAGCTGTAGTCCTAATAATAGCCGTTGCATGTACCAAAACAGACTAGTGCATTAAGTTATAAGTTTATTAAAATGGCTAATAATTACTTATATATCTCAACGTAAAGGAGAAATAACAAGTAAAAGATTGACAAATGAATGAGGTAGAGAATAAATATGAAAACTTCTGTGCTCTAGGCACAACTACCGCCCTGTGAAGGTGTTCCCCTACACATCAGTGAGGGTAACGTGTATGCCTAATAATCACCAATCCAGCCAAACTTTAAGTTCAAATACTAAGCATTCATAATAAAACAAACTACAGATCGGATTCGTACATCCCGTTGACGGGACGGGTTACAAGAAAAACGGAATAGCAGCTTCATCCCGCTGTCTGAACGACTCAATATGGAGGCTTACCTCATCTGCGAGTAAAAATAGAAATGAAATCGGCAGCCGACCAGAAGACAGAGAGCAGACACTTCGAAATATCCGGCTAAATACCAGAGAATTAATCTCTTAACCACAATATCCCACTAAACAAAATCCTACGAAACGAACGATTGGCTGAATCCGAGACGAACAGACTTATTTATTGTATCGTCTGGATGCACCATAACTCATTCCATGGTTTAAACATATGGTAATGTAGTTACTGAATTGTATACACATACCATAACTCATTGTACTGTACACACACAATCATTACTTGCGTTTGTGAATATATTTTCGTGGAAAAAATGGCACATGGTTTCATACCCATGACTTTCAAAATACTGACTAGAGGTGCCGTTTATCTTTCGAAAAGTCTTTTGCTTTCCTCCACTCGCTTTCGATCGTGTTTGTATTGACTAACAAAAATTCGGCCGTTTCCATCTTTTTCTACGATTTCTTACACTGCGATGTATTCACAAATGAAAAGTGCTCGTAGCCTAATTCGT